GTCACCCCCCTCCCGTCGGTCGTCCCGGTCGACGAGTCTTCTGACTCTGGTAGTCCTCCGGTGCAGTCCTCGCCGTCTGTCCCTCCCCCGGTGTCTCCTCCTCCACCGCCTCCGCAGCCGCCGTCGCCGCAGCTGCTGCAGCCGTCGTCTCCACCGCCGCCGCCGTTGCAGCCGTCGTCTCCGCCGCCGCCGCCGTCGCGGCCGTCGCTGCAGCCGCCGCCGCCGCCGCCGCTGTCGTCGCTGCCGCCGTTTGTGGACTCTGGGGGTGTCCCTTCTGGGGGTGCAGGTGTGGAGGGTTCGGGAGGTAGCCGTCGCGCAGCTTGTGGCCCTGGTGTTGGTGTTGTGTCGCCGCAGCAGCAGTCCCCGCCTGTGTCCGCCCTCCGTCTGCTCGGCCTTCCGTCTCCTGACCCTGCGCCTGTTCCTCTCCTGCCGTCTCCCCCTCTTCCCGTCTACGGCCCCGTGTTCCCTCTGCCCGACTCGTCCCCGGCTCGTCTTCCCCCTCGTTCCCCTCCTGTGTCCCCTCCTCTGTCTCCTAACCCGACGCCGCCCTCACACGTCTGGTCTCGCCGCCCCTCTCGTGCTCGTCCTGTCTCCCCTGTCCCGCGCTCTCACCCTATGTTGCTCCGTTCCCACGCGTCTCGACCTCCCCTCCTCCCGTCTCCTCCTCCGTCTTCTCTTGTCGTTGCGTCTCCTCCTCTGTCCGACTCCTTTCGTGCCGCTCGTCCTCTTGTTCCTCGGGTCCTTGCCTCTCTCGTTACCGACCCGTCTGTTCCCGTGTCGAGTCTTGACGCCCTCGTCGCTGCGGTCGCTGACTTCGCCTCTACCCGCCGCCTTGACTACGCCACCGCTCTGGTCTCTCACCCTGCCTGTCCTCCGTCTGTCGGGGGTGCTCCTGCCCTCGGCAGTGACGTCCTGGAGGACCGCCAGTTTGAGCTTGCTTTCCTGTCCGAGGCTGCTCCCCATCTCTGTTCCATGCTGCTAGTCCCTGAGGGTGACCCAGACGCTTTCGACATCCCGACCCCTCGTACTTACGCTGAGGCGGTTTCGGGACCCTGGGCCTCTCAGTGGATAGCTGCCATGGAGCAGGAGATGGCATCTTGGAGATCCACCGGCACCTTCGTCGACGCAGTTCCCCCACCTGGGGTGAACGTGGTCGATGGCCGTTGGCTCTTCAAGGTGAAGCGCCCTCCTGGAGAGCCGCCTGTGTTCAAGGCGCGCTACGTGGCTAGAGGCTTCAGTCAGCGCGAGGGGGTGGACTTCTTTCAGACTTTCGCTCCTACCCCGAAGATGACTACTCTTCGGGTGCTGCTACACGTAGCGGCTCAGCGTGACTACGAGCTTCACTCCCTCGACTTCTCCACTGCCTTTCTTCAGGGCAGCCTTCACGAGCAGGTCTACCTGCGTCGCCCTCAGGGCTTTACTGGCACCTTCCCCCCTGGGACCCAGTGGCTTCTGCGGCGGCCAGTCTACGGCCTGCGCCAGGCGCCTCGTGAGTGGCACGACACTTTGCGTGCTACCCTTGCTGACCTGCAGTTCTTTCCGTCCTCTGCAGACCCCTCGCTCTTCGTTCGTGCTGGCTCGACTCCGTTCTACATCCTCGTCTACGTAGACGACCTGGTCTTTGCCACTGCTGACAGGGACGCACTGGCCTCCGTGAAGGCAGAGCTGCTGAAGAGACACACCTGCACTGACCTTGGAGAGCTGCGCCGTTACCTTGGCTTGCAGATCTCCAGGGACAGAGCCGCGCGCACCATCACCCTGACTCAGTCACACTTGGTGCGCCAGGTCCTTCAGAGGTTCGGCCTTCAGTTCTCCTCCGCACAGCCCACTCCTCTTCCTCTGGACCACAGACTCTCCGCTCCAGTTCCTGAGGAGTCGGTAGATCCCAGTGGTCCTTACGCTGAGCTAGTGGGTTGCCTCATGTACCTGATGACTTGCACTCGCCCAGATCTCGCATACCCTCTCAGCATCCTGGCTCGTTTCGTGGCCACAGGCAGACACCGACCTCAGCACTGGTCTGCCGCTAAGAGGGTTTTGCGTTATCTTGCAAGTACATCGGGCATGGGGTTAGTGCTAGGCGGACGCAGGCCAGTGGTCCTTACTGGACACACAGACGCTTCTTGGGCAGACGACGCCGAGACGCTCAGGTCTTCCCAGGGCTACTGCTTTAGCCTTGGCTCAGGTGCTGTCTCGTGGAGAGCTACCCGCTCTTCGTCTGTTGCCCAGTCCAGCTGTGAGGCCGAGATCTACGCCGGTGCGATGGCGGCACAGGAGCTCCGCTGGCTGACCTTCTTGCTCACTGACTTAGGTGAGCGGCCTAGCTCTGCCCCGGTCCTGTACGCTGACAACAGGGCCATGATCCTCCTGTGTCAGGAGCCTCGACTCGAGGGCAGAGCGAAGCACATCCAGCTGCGGTACTTCCTCCTGCGTGAGCTACAGCAGCGTCGCCAGGCTCGCGTAGTACACTTAGCCTCCGGTGCCAACACAGCTGATATCTTTACGAAGGCGCTTGCGCCTAAAGATCATCAGCGGCACTGTGTACAGCTTGGTCTGGTTCCTGTAGTCTCTCACTTACTCGGGCCTTGACTTTGTACTGCCCTATATATATCTGTGTGTACACTCAGACTGGACTTGTGTCCTCTTACAGTGGTTGGACTAGTAGTGCCGCCCTGTACTAGTTCTTGCCTTGCCTGTACTCCTTCTGACTGGTCTTTTAGACCCTTGTCTCAGAGGCTGGACTAGTAGTGCCACCCTGAGCTGCTTGTCTAGAACATTCCCCTATGCAGTCCAGGGGGTGTGTCAAACATGTTTAGTTATCATGCTTGTATAGACTGTATAGGGTCATCTTCTAGAGAGTACAACTGTTAGGTATATGTTTGTGTACTCTCTCTCTCTATTTATCAATTTCACTGTTTGATATAACGACGCGTGCCAGAGGCTCTGTGTGGCCATGGCGACAGGCATGGTGTCGAACTTGAAGGAGCGGCTGGGTGATCTGGGGAAGCTCTCTGGCTGCCGCCTCTTCTCTGTCAACCTCTGGCCCCCTAACTGGGAGAGAGCTGCACGCAAGGCCCAGTGCCTTGACTGGTTCTTCTCCCTTGTTACTCTTTATCGTGCAGATAAGGCAGAGGAGATTCTTCCTGGCATTGACAAGCGTGCAGCCATGAGAGTGTTAGAAACTTAGGATGCTAGGTCCCTAAAGTTAGGACACTAGCTTAGCTAGGATAGGAGCAAGGCCGCCATGGAACGGCGCTAGGAAAAACGGATCTAGGAGTAGGAGAAAAGTCGAGAAGAAAGGGGGGTTGGATTAGGAAGAGAAGGGAGTACAAGGAGGGGTTTGTACCCCCTACAGAAAGGTTCAGTAGCAACCTACCAAGCCTATATAAAATTATAACTTATATAATTTTAACACACCCCCTAGGCTTGGTAGTGTCAAGCCCACTCACACCCCCACACCCGCACCCAACCCACCCCCTAACCCCGCACACCCTCAGGCTCGTGCTTAGCCGGGTATCTGACCCTCAGGCAAAGCGTTGACACACCCCCGTACACGAGGCAGCCGACGGCGTCTAGGCGGGTCAGCGACAAGCAGCCGCGGAGCTCTGGCTCAAGGCGGCTGGGTCGCCGACGACAGGCGGCGACTGCCGTGGCTGAGGGCTCTCGGCGATGTGGCAACGTCCGGGCAGAAGACAGCAGCTGCGACAGGAGGAAGGGAAGACGCAGGGGGAAGGGAGAATGGGGGGGGGGGGGGGGCGGGGGGGGGCGGGGCGAGTCTTCAGCGTCGCGCCATAAATGGCGCGGCGCTTACAGGCGGGACGACGGCGTCCTGGCAGGGGGCGACGGGGCCGGGCAGAGGGCGACGGGGCCAGGCAGGGCGCGACGAGGCCCAGGAGGGGCGCAGCCGCGGCGTCGCGCTGACGTCGTCCCGGTCGCGTGTCGAGACGGCCGCGGCAGGACGGCGCAGCCGGCGAACAGACGACGGCGCCACAGCGTGACGCCGCCGCGGCCGCCATGGCAGCGTCGATGCCGCAGCGGGGCGTCGACGCTGCGACTGCAGAACGACGGCCCGACTCCGCGGCAGCGCGTCGGGCCGGTCGCGGCACGACGCGCCCAGTGGCAGCGCGACGTCGCCACTGCAGCAAAACGCGGCCGCCATGGCCGCTGGAGTGAATGAGGGTGAGGAGTAAATGGCGGAAGCGAGAGGAGGCAGTCCAGCAGGAAGGATCTCCTGCTCTGATACCATGTTAGAAACTTAGGATGCTAGGTCCCTAAAGTTAGGACACTAGCTTAGCTAGGATAGGAGCAAGGCCGCCATGGAACGGCGCTAGGAAAAACGGATCTAGGAGTAGGAGAAAAGTCGAGAAGAAAGGGGGGTTGGATTAGGAAGAGAAGGGAGTACAAGGAGGGGTTTGTACCCCCTACAGAAAGGTTCAGTAGCAACCTACCAAGCCTATATAAAATTATAACTTATATAATTTTAACAGAGAGAGCTGCCTCATTTCTGCCCTGTCATTGCTGCTCTTCCCTAGGCCGACCGAAGCTTTCACGCTGGGCTCACGGCCATGCTGAAGACACCTGACTGGCAGGATTCTTACCCGAACCTGATGAAGCTGTGGATGGCGGTGGCAGTGCTTCCTCTCAGCATTGTGGAGTGCGAGCGCGGATTCTCTAGGCAGAATGTGATTAAGAGCTGGCTGCGTGGCAGCCTTAAAGATACTAGGCTTAGTGACCTCATGTGCATGTCACAGTTAGACTATGACCCGGACTATGATGCTGTGGTGGAGATATGGCGCGCTTACAAGAAGCGTAAGCCCTTCAACAACACCCCTCAGGCCAAGCAAGACGGCTCGAAGAAGAGGCAGGTAGTAACAGAAGAGGCAGAGTGGGGTGTAGGTAGTAGTGACAATGTGGACAATCTTGATAATTTCGAATAAAGTTCCTTGCTTCTCAATTTCCTCTTCATTTTGTCAATCAGGGAAAAAAAACCATCTATCTCTGTCTATTCAGCATTTTTGTCCCACACAATCCTGACCCCTAAGCAAAAAAAAATGGGGACCTCTGAAAATTCAGGGAAAAAACCAATCTGAGGGCCTGGTTATGGGCATATTTAGTAGAGGGGCAAATATCCTATTCGTATGTCATTCAGCTTATGTCAAGTTAGATTGAACTAATCTCTGCTGCACGGCTGGCAGGTAACCACGTGTCTGAACCGCCAGTCAACTACTTGGCAAGCACGTGAGCAATAGCGAGCCTCCTCGCACGCTGCACAGCAGCGGAACTCCCCTTTTCGCAGCTCCACCCTTCCACACCGCGCATTACCGCACACATGCCTCTCGCTCTCCTGAAATCGCTCTCCCCGCAGCGCCGTCCATTCCACCAGAAACGCATTCGCGTGCAGCATCGGCGGCGGCTGTATCTGGACGCTTTTCCCCTCGCCTGTGCAGCATCCTAGAATTCCGCCATCTGCTAAAACAGCTCGAGCCAACAGTCTCTCCTCATCGGTAATCTCTAACGTCTCCTGCTTGTCCCCTTCTGTTACAGTCACCCCCTTTACCGTCGCACGGCTGGCTCTTTGAAGCAGACGGCTGGTATGCTGAAGCAGCGTATTCATCGCTGCCGATTCCGTTCCGAGAGAAAACGTCGAGCCTTCACTCTTAGAGCCTCCCAACAATCTAGCCCTAGAAGTACTACCCACTTCCTCTTCGCTTTCAGAGTACCCGTCTTGGACGCCACTTCCGTGTCTGCCTACATCCTCTGCTCCTACACATGAAACCCCTCCCACCGCCTCTGCCACTTCATCCCCGCTATTAGCCAGCTCCCGCAGGTTCGCCTCCACCAGAAGCAACCTCCCCTGGGCAACGTTCCGCTTGATCCCGAACCCATCCTGCAGACACAACCCTAATTCCCGCAGCGCATCTGGATGCCCCGCCTTAGCCGCCGCCACGCACAGCAGCATCCCCATTCCAACCTTCCGGTTCCCCCGCAGCTTCCGCCTTCCCCCGTCCCGCTCCGCTCCGCCGTCCGTTTCCGCTCCCACATCTTCCTCCGCTCCGTTACTAGGCAACCCACTACCGTTGAAATGGATGATTGACAGGCTGTGTAACGCGGCTGGGTGCCCCGCCTTTGCTGCCTGCACCAGCCACTTCATGCCGCTGACCACCCGCTCCAGGCAGTAAAACTCGACCATCCCGAGGAGAAACGCAGCCTCCGCGTTTCCCGCAGCTGCGCACGCTGAAAGGTACGAGGGGTAGGCGGGAGTGTAGTTCTTCGCCGAGCAAGCGAGAGCGGGAGGTGGTAACATGGCGAGGATGTCTGGGAGGGATGAGATGCGGCGAAGGTGGGACGAAGCGAGGCGACATGCGAGGAAGTCCTGGGGAGCTGAGGCACGTGCGGCGACGTGCGCGAGAATTGTCTCGAGGAGCTCATCCTGAACAAGAGGAGAAATCACGGGGAGAGTGCGAGACAATGGAGAGAGAAATGAGAAACCGTAGGGGGAATTGTGGGGACTCCAGAGCACATGGCAAATGCTCGTGGCAAGGAAATGAGGAAGAGGAGTGCTGAACGAGACAGAAGCAGTAGAAAGTGCTTCGTCGAAAAAAACGTACTGGAAGGTTTTCGAATGACGAAGAGCTGGATGAGTCAGCTGGCGAGGTGATTTTCTCCGTTCGCGCTCGCTTCGCAGTTTCCAATGCCTCAGGATAAACGAGTGATAGTCGCTTGCAGCCCATGGTGAGCGGTTCGCCGTGGCTATGTTATGTGGTGTAATACGTAAAAGAGCAAGGCCGAAGCTAAGCACACAGGATATGATGGTTCAATGCTGTTCTGTGATAATGCCCGTCAATTTCTGGACCTCAAGGCAAGAACCAGCCCTCTCGCTAAGCCCCTGGGTATTCCGGAAGGGGACGGAATCGCCTCAGGATTACCCGTTAACAGACGGAATTCCCCCAAAAAACCCGTACCGAAAGGAATCGGCCGCGACAGATTCGGCTAGCAAGTTATCAGATGGGGGGAAAGGGGTGGGGGGCGTGGGGGGGCGCGAGGCTAAGTATGTACCGCCTACAGATTGCCCTGCTACAAGTATAGCCCGTACGGATTTGGAAAAATGTCACTCGTTAGGCCAAGGAATCGCGCGAAATTGCTTCCGTAAGCTGGACGGATTCGGCAAAAAATCGCACTGTAAAAAGGCGGAATCACTTGAAAAGTCACTCTTAATGTCTCGACATTAAGGAAAACTACCCTGTTAGCAAGAGGCCTGGCAAGAACCCAACCAGGCGCGGGAACGTAATTTTTGTGCCTCCTTGGGAACGAAGCGAAACGCGTTTCTTCGTTTCGCCCCATTTTTGTTCTGACTAGAGGGGTTCGAAGGAAGGAAACAAATGACGAGCGCCGATGGCGGAAGGCCGGTGCTGCTGTGCTGCCAGTGCGCCAGATTACAGCTGCACCTGCTACAGTCACTAACGGAACGCGCAGTGTGTGTGGAAATTTTGGTTTGCAGCAGACCGTAAGGTGTAGGTGCTGCTTGAAACGGGCGATTTGGGGCAGCGAACGGCCTACAAATCAGCCAAAGCCAAACATCATGCGATTCGTACAGGTCACCGATTTTTTCAGGAACGCGATTTGAGGAAGGTTTTGATGCACAAATTCGTGAGGGAAGGCTCGTGAGTGGTGGAGATGTGTGGAACGCGAACGCCTCGTTGATGCCTGACCGACATCTGCGTCAAGTTTGACAAACCTGCAAACGCGAACCAGAAGGAGACGGAACTTTTTGACTGGCGTGCTGTGGGGCGCGGCAAACGTGGAGCCAATGTGTCATGGCAGTCTGCTGAATTCCACAGAGCACCCATCACCTGCATAGTGTGAGGTGGCTGGCCAATGGAGACCAGGGGTTGACGTGTTCCATTCAAGATTTCGTGAACCATCCTAGGACAGAAAAACTCAGATTACCAGACGTAACACATACATAAAAATACTTTCGCACATTAAATGACAAAAAGCAAAAAAGTTGTGGAAATGCATTACTGAAAGGGCCACTCAGCATACTATTTCGCATAACAGCAGCCTGACATGTACAAGTTAGTATTCCTGGGGGTGAGTCCTATAATAAACTTCAAGCAAGACACCATTGCCAAAACATCATTGCTCTATGATGCGCAAGCTTCCAAAGCGATGCCCTGCTCTGACATTCACCACCAGTGGGACATCCAGGCATGCAACCTTTTCCATCTTTTGCTTAACCACCTTGAAGACTTCGAAAACGTCTTTTTCTGGAACTTCCAACACTAGCTCGTCATGAACCTGAAGGATGCAACAAATAAGAGCAGGTTGTTGAAGGTGCACAGTCTGCACACGCAGTTGTACTTACCTGCATCACGATCTGAATATCTCCTTTGCTATTCTGAACAAGTTCACTGGCGTCCAGCATGGCCAGCTTCATCAATTCTCTGCATCAGCAAACACCGAACAACAGCCTAATCAATCCAGGGTGAAAAAGTGGTCAAGCATCAATCAAGCGCATGCGAAGGTATGGCTCTTACGCCGCAGAGCCCTGAATGATGGTATTCACCGACTGCCGCTCTGCTTGAGCTCGCCTTTCTGAATTGCGTTCATGCATATCTGAAAGAAGTGACCAGTGAGAAAAACGATGTTGCAACGGATGCAGAATTAGAGAAACAGGAAATACCTGGAAGCAGCCTGCGGTGGCCCCACATGGTTGTGACAAAGCCATCCCTTCGGGCTATGCTGATAGTTTGATTGATGAAGTCCCTCATACTTGGAAAGTGATCCAAAAAGCTCTGCAGCAATTGTTGAGCCTTGTCGACCTCCACTCCCAAAATTGAAGCCATGGCTTGCTTCCCTTGCCCATAAAGAATCCCATCTGCAGCATTGGTTAGCATATTGAACATACAACACGACGAGCATTTTACAAACAGCATCACTCACAGCATAGCCTCTTAACCAGCTGCCGCTCCTGGTCATTGACTGCGTCTGCAGCCTTTCCAAAAAAGGCTGCCCCAATGAGCCTGAAAATATCACTCTGTTGACCAGCTCTGAACACATTGACCTGCGAAAATTATGGGCACACTTCAAGAACAATGGACCAGGGAAAACAAGAACATTGAAAAAACAAACAGAGAAAGAGACACAAGGAGAAAGAGAGTGAGGAAGGGGGGGGGGAGAGGGGATAATACCAGTGTCTGATCAGCAGATAGGTGTGCAAAAAGTCGGAGTTCTATTTGTGAATAGTCAGCAGAAACCAGGATCTTCCTGCAGATGAAAGAACAATGCTTTACGCTAGGAACTTCTCAGAAATGGGAAAAGTAAATAGGAGAAACGGAAGGAAAGTGGACGAAACATGGTTAGAATAAGGAAGAGGTTAGGACACAAAATTTAACCAACCCGGGTGCAGACATAAGAGCATCACGAATGGCAATGGCGACTGCTGAAGAGTTGGTCGCTGCAGATGTTCCTTCCAGAGCGTATGTTGGCAAATTCTATTCAAATAGCACCGTTAATATTTGAACAAATCAAATCAAGGTCTGTTGCTGGTGCATGGAAAAACAAACCTGTAAGTTAGGGTTGGAAGATGAAAGTCGTCCTGTTGCCGTGTTTGCAGCATTCCACTCAGAGTGAATCCTAGCAGATCCATCCTGAGCACACAAAAATACTGAGCAAGCTGATTGAAGTGAATGATATGCAACACTAGAGAATACCATACCGTTTCGCTGCAGGAACTTGACAGAAGTCCATCGATCCAAGTCGACTTGACTTTCATAAGTTGCCTGAACTGGAAGCCACAAAAAAGGTCAGCATCACCCTACCATTAATACTCTTCACTGCCAAAAGAGCTCACTTCTAAAACGATGCCCGGAAACTGATGAAGAGAAGCGAGTTGACTGAGTGTAGCCTCATTTGTCGTTGAGTGGGTCTGCGCCTCTCGCTTCTTGGCCATACCGACACTCTTAGCAGCTCCTACCGGAAGCTTCAGGTCCTGCAGTTTCTCACGAGCTGAAACCGTGTCCAAGAAAACCACATTTCAGTTGCATGACCTTGCAGTGGATACCTCGTATAAGGCTTGAGCCACTTGCTTTGGACTTGCCAAGTTGATCCGACGGCCAACCAGCTTTTCACCAATTGACGTAAGATGCTCCATCCGTTTCTGCAGCAACAAGCACACAGTAAGTACAATGAGTCAGAGGTCCTAAGGAAGAGCGAAATCTTGGGTGCTATGTGTTACACCTCCAGGTAGTCCCGTTTCGACATTAATAAGTCCATCTGAATCAACAAGGCCCCAACGTTAGGCTTCAGAAATAGACGCACATCTTGACTGTAATGAGTCATCTGCTTACATCAACCTGGACGCCAGCAATCTCCATTTGGGCGAGGACAGGAAGGAGCCTCATATTGACCCTGGGGTGCCCAAAGGTATAATTGCAGGGCAAGAACAAGGAACGGCATATAGCCCTGCTGAGCTGAATGCATACCTGAATGCCTCACGAAGTGAAATGTTTGTCCTTGCCACCAATGCCACATGAACATCATTGCAGAGGTTGAGGCTGGCGTGAACACACTGAAGATAGGCATTTCCTTTAGTACTGGATTCCAGAACTTCTTTCCCCTTAACGCCTTCTTTCGCCTTTCCAATCAACTGCTCCAGATTTTCACCTAGTTGCCTGAAACGAGAAACATACATCGTTGATTTCCCCGAAACGACTCTAGAAGAACGAAGGGATTAGGAAATGGTGGAAAGCGTACCATGCAAGAATCTTCTCTCAGCAGTAGAAAGACAGCCATCCCAGGCTCGCACGAGCTCACGGCGGATGTTAGTGCCTTAAGAGAGTGTAAACAGAGTGGCCTTACAAGAGTTTCACTCACTTTTGGGTCAATAAACATGTCATCCAGATCCATCACTGCAAAATCCCACAACTTGTGAGATCTCCAAGGAAATTACAAAGGGCGCTGTTATCTGGGTAGCGCGTAAAATTCGAGCTCACCTGGCACTTCCCACTGCAAAAGAGATCTGATGAATCTTTGCGAGTCACAACAGACGATCGCCTCTGCAAAGACAATGGCTGTCCGAACTGCTTCTCTGAAGGCATATACGACAATACGATTAGACTCTGTCAGGTCGTGCTGCAATGCCAATTTCAGCATTCAATTGCAAACCTTAAGTTACCTGAACTCTTCAATTGTAGCGTTGCTGGTGGGTAGTACACTGACATTTACTCCTGGTAACAGAATGACTCTCATCTTCGGCTGACCGATTTGATGAATTACAACTCCAATAACGCTGAGGTCTTCAATAGACGAGAGGTACATGCCATTTGCTGCCCAATCTCGCTTCTGTGCAGCCATTCAAAGAAATGAGGGACGTGACTTGTGGTAAGAAACATTAGCTCGTGTGTACGCACCTTGGAAGGAAGTTGCAGATCAAGCGAGACATACAGCTGACTCCGCTCATCATCAAAGAACAGCAGAGAGACGACCAGAGGTGTTTTGCTGTCCAAAGTTTTCCACTCGCTAGAAGGGACGTCTTTGCATGCTTCCGAATCCACGTTCACACAGTCCCCACACTCTAAAGGTTTCGACGGCAGGTCGTCAAATAGCTCCTCAATTATATTCTTCTGTGGCGTTGACGAAGGCAGCGCGTCCCACTCGTTGAGCACTGTAGTCTTTTCGCAAGTCGTAGCATTTTCCAGCTCCTTTCCACACTCTTGCGGGATCCATGACTCCCCTGTCCCAGCTTTCTCAGCAACTGGAGAAAAACCCGCATCCACTTTGGCAGGGATGTAAGGCGGTGGCGAAACCGACCTTTCAGCACCAAAGAGCAGCTCAGATGAACTCGATGGTACGTTTGAGGTGAAACTCCCATCCATCGTCCACGCGGTAGGATTTGTGCACATAGAATGAGTCTCAACACGTCTGTCAATCGTCGATGATGGCTCGTCAATGGAAAAGTCTTTGGAGGCACTCTTCTCAAAAATCGAGAGTCCACTCCCATCAGTTTCTGATGCAACGTCAGGAATTTTCGACCCGCAAAAGTGGTAAGAACTCTTGACATCGCCATTTGAGAATTCGAAGCTTCCCGGATCTGGGATGAAAGGTGGCGGTGAGGTCGATCGTTCAACACCAGAGAGCAGCTCGGTCGAGCTCGGTGGCAAGTGTGAGGTGAAACTTCCATGCATTTTCCATGCGGCGTCAGTAGGACTTGCGCGTAAGCTATAGAAATCACCATGCTTGTCTGTCGTCGGCGCTGGCCTACTAACAGTGAAAAGCTCGGAGAGGTTACGTCCATCAATCTCAGACGCAACGTCTGGTATTTTCGTTCCCAGAAACGTCTGACGAGAGCTTCTGATGTCGCCATGCGAGGACGCGTTTAAGCTTCCACGACGGGAACCCTGAAATCAGAAAAGGCCATATAGGTAACTTCAGCGTACACATGTTCGCAAAACATCCTGTAGAACTACACACGGTAACCTACCTTCCGTCGAGACTGTTTCATGTAAGCCATAACTTCCTGCTCATGAACATAGGCTGGGAATGTAAGTTTGAGATTAACTGCATGAATATAGCTTCTGAAATGACAAAGCAGACCTCAACTGATGGCGGTTTTCTGGAAGGCTTCAACAAATACATGATAATCAAGCAGGCAGTAAAGACTTCGGGAGCTATAACAGGACGCAAGCGTGTCCCACTGCTTCGGAAGAAGAGCGTGCAGAATCTGGAAGCAACAATGGCAATCGGAATGGTTCAGGAGATAGGAGGCAAGGTCCTTCTCACTGCTTCTGAAGTATGTTCGAGAGACACGACTGCAACTACCATGAGCATGAGACTGGAATTGGAAGGGCGTACTTTCGAATCCCGCAGAAACTACCCGAGTTGACCGAATTTCAGAAACATCCGAACTAAGACTGAATCTGTTATGTACTGAGACTGAAACCCATCCAAACCGGACTCGAAATTAAAACCCATCAACCGATCTTGGGATCAAAGGCACGGTGTTTCAGAAGATCAAAGATACCCTAGATACTCAGTTGGCGTCAGTCACACCTGTTCACACAAGAACCTCGTTGCAATGTCTGCGGACGGAATACCCTAGAATGTGAACAGATTTTGGTCAGGGACCACGTTTTGACCCAGTGGGTAGCGAGGCGTTATACTCATATTCATCCCAAGTGTGTTCTCGTGAGTGATTCTTTCTATGTGAGTTATGGCCACAATTGCCTCTCCTCAGCCTTCTGCTAAGGTGCCTGGTACCCCACCCGATTCTGCGGTTTCGAAATCTGGCGACATTCCTGAATTATTCGAGGTTCAGGAGCTTCGCGGGCATGACGATCGCGTGTGGAGCGTCTCATGGTCGCCGGACGGGGCCCTTCTGGCCTCCTGCAGCGGCGACCGTTGTGTCCGAATCTGGGGTCGAGAAGCCGGAGCGTCGTCTCCTTTCATTTGCAAGGTCGTAGAAACACCGATCGCCCAGTCCGCGATTCTTGCCTCGGAATTTGCTCCAGGATCTATCTATCGCTCGTCGCTTCGAAAGTTCTGACAACCAGCAGCTGATTTTTCGTTCTTCATACCAATTCTTGTTCGAATTTCGTAACAGGCCATCTTAGAAGACACGCATTCGAGGACAATTAGATCCTGCGAGTGGTCACCAGACGGAAGGTTCCTGGCAACAGCCAGCTTCGACAACACGGTGGCTGTATGGGAACGAACCGGGAGCAACGACGCTGACTTTGAGTGTCTCGCTGTGCTCGAGGTGAGATGATTTGCCGCGTTGTACTGTCCAGCATGCATTTGAGTCGACTAAAAAATCGACCCAAAAACAGCCAGCTTCGACAACACGGTGGCTGTATGGGAACGAACCGGGAGCAACGACGCTGACTTTGAGTGTCTCGCTGTGCTCAAGGTCGGATAATAGCCGTTCTTTTAACTCCAGCATACATGTTCAGACATATCCAGCCCAGGAAGACGCCTGACACATGGTGTCAGATACTGCTAGCGCATTACCGTACTCATCCACGCTCTGTGACGACCTCGTTCGCGTAGTGCGGAGCGATTCCTCTCCTCTCGTCCTTCCCCCTTCCTCCGGACAATAGGTCCGCTCTTTCAGCACCTCCGATGGGTTCTTTACCAACCCCCCCTCCCCCTTCCCTCCCCCCCCCTCTCCCTCGCAAACCCTTGCTTTCAATCCTTACATACCCTCTCACTGCTGCAGGGCCACGAGAGCGAGGTGAAATCAGTAGCATGGAACGCAACTAGCTCCCTACTAGCCACATGCAGCCGGGACAAGAGCGTGTGGATCTGGGAGGTGCCAGGTGGCAGCAGCGGAGTGGCTGGACGGATTGGTGTGGGCCCGGCGTCTGACTTTGACTGTGTGGCGGTGCTGCATGGCCACACGCAGGACGTGAAGATGGTGCGCTGGCACCCGAGGCATGACTGGCTTGTGTCAGCCAGCTATGACGACAGCATCAAGGTGAAAAGGGTTGCATTTCACAGTGAATTTTCGAAGAATCTGCCAGGTTTCGGGTGGAATTTTCATCTTCCTGACGATTGTTACAATCTGAGCTTTGCATGTTGTTGCATGTGCTCGTTTATGATGTGGTGGTTGTGACAGGTCTGGGCTGCAGAGGTGGAGGGTGAAGACGATTGGTCGTGTGTACAGACCCTTGATGCTGCAAATGGGTGAGTCTGGGGAGGCATGCTATATAAGCAATTTCCGTTCCTCAGCGCCCTTCAGGTCGTTACGTCACTGGCATCACTTCCTTCAGCCCTCCTAAATGACGCCTGCTTGTTTCCTGTCTTTTTACTGTGTCCAGGGCGGGGCATTCGTCTACAGTTTGGGCTATCTCGTTTGATGCCACCGGACACTACATGGCATCCTGCAGGTACCCAGCTTTCGCATCCCCTACTGCAGGTCCATTCGCTGCATTCTTTCCCATGCCCTCCTCATGCTGCATACTCTCCATGCACCCTCTCCCTGCATTCTCTTACATGTACTGTTGCCCATTTTCTCATGTCCATGTACTCTCCTCCACACATCCCCATCCACCAAGACTTCCCATCCCCTTTGTTTACTCTCCTCGTCCATTTCACTCTCCCCTGGCCGGCTCCCTCTGTCTTCCTGCAGTGACGATTTGACTGTCAAAATTTGGGATACAAGCTGTGAGCCGTCGGATGTGAGGGCCTCAGAAGGAAGCTCAGCAAGGGGATGGTACGGAAGCCAGCAGAGTCTTGAACCGCAAAGCTGCAGAGTGCCTTTCTTGAGTAGTATCTGTCGCCATGACTTTAGAATGATCCACGCAAACAAGCAGCTCTCTCTTCTGCCCTTTTCGCCCATCTCATTGACCCATATGTGCATGTTTTGCTTGCTTGGCAGGTCGCATGTCTGTACACTTGCGGGCTTCCACGACCGCACCATCTTCCACGTCGACTGGTCCATGTATGCCCCTCAGTTTACGATTGTTTAGTTTACAAATTTCCAGGCCCCTCAATATTTGTCACTCATTCTTCCACAACCGCACCATCGTCCACGTCAACTTTTGGATGTACGGCTCTCTGTTCCGCACTTTCAATCTACAAACGAATAGCACGGCTGAAAATGCAGTGTATGTTGAACAATAGCATCCTGGACATCTTTCCATATTATAATTTCCCTTTGGCATCATCAGTCATCAATCTCATGCGGCGCATGCTCACATTCACATCCCACACCTTTTCTTCCTTTCCTGCAACCATTTTTTGGCAGAGCCAGTGGGCTGATTGCCACAGCAGCAGGAGATGATTGCATACGAGTCTTCTCTTTCCCCGGCCTGCCTCGCTCAGAGCCTGGCGATGATGGAACCAACTCCAACATTGCCAACAGAAATGGAACTGGCGAGGAGCCAGGGATTGCAGGGGAGGCAGGGGTGGCAGCGGCAGCAGCGGTGGGAGAGGAGGCGGAAAATAGGGCCCAGCTGCTGATTCGAAAGGCACATGCACATGACACGGATGTCAACTGCGTGAGATGGAACCCCAAGGTGAGATGGTCCACTCCCATCCATAGTGCAATGGCCCACAACTTATCCATCACCTCTTTACACCACACCACACCACACCGCACCACACCGCACCACACCACACCACAGCATACCACACCGGACCACAACTGGTGCAATAAAGCGCCGAAATCCTGTGATGTGAAGTACCTTGTGCTCTCCCCTCCCCCACAATCTCTTCCGGCTTGGCAGAATCCCTGCCTCCTGGCATCAGCAGGAGATGATGAGATGGTGAAGATCTGGGAGATCAGAGGGCTTGCAGGCGCTGGGTAAATTGTATGCATCATGGTGGAGGGTAGACCATGGTGGAGGGTAGTCACCTGACTGACAGGCCCAGAGGCCTGTCTGATGGTAGCTTACTAGCTTAGAATAGGAACAATAATTAGTGTATAGATTGTTAAACATAGCAGTTTACAGTAATACCCTGGAGGCCATTATCTCCAGATATTTCACCAAAACCCCTTCAAGAGGATGCAGTGTCTTGTAGCTCTTCATCATCACCATCTTCAGAAACTGATGATCTGTCAGGCCACTCGCATCCGCTGCTGTGTATTGTGTCAGCAGCAGGCCTTCCTTCCGCATGCAAGCCCGGCGCGTCCTCAGCAATGGTGAACCATCCCAACTCCCTCTCCTGCCTCTCTTCCCTCTCCTGCCTTGTGGTACGAGAGCCTGTTGAAGGGCGATTCAACAAACACGCCTCGCTGGACCCAGTACAGGCACTGCCTGCTGTAGAATCCAGTTCCAATGCAGTGGCCCCAATGTGCACCTCGAGATCCCGCTGCCGCTGCTGCTCCTCCTTCTGCTGCTGCTGCTGCTGCTGGTGCACATAGGCAATCGTTATCCTACATTCGTCCAAAGCACAAGGAGAACCGTGGCTATTTCGGCAGCACCTGGCGTGGCCCTCAGGGGGGAAGCAGCCAACCGGGGTGGTAGGGATTGGAGGGCGTTGGTGCTGCTGGGAGGGCGAGATGGAGTTCAAGAGCCCGGTGAAGGACGGAACGACGCAGCAGCCCGTGGGCTGAGAGAAGGCCAGGGGAAAGACAGCTGAGGCGCATTGATGCACTGTGGGCACTGACCCGTTACAGGCTGGACCCATTATGCGCACTGGCCCATTATGCAGGTGCTTTGGATACAGACGACCCTCATGTGGGCTCTCAGGCAGAAGACGGGCCCGAGTGCTTGCACGTAGGGGAGGATCCACGGTCCCAGCATGAGGGTCAAAGCCGCAAGGGAAGACAGCAGCACATTGCCGCAGCACTGGGGTGTTATCATTGGCTTGAGCTCCGTGTGGGCGTCGACAGGGAATACGGGGAGCTCTTATAAAATCCTGAGTTCTTATATGGGGAGGAGGCCTGTCGGATCCAGCTCCAGGGGCAAAGACGGTGGGGAAGACAGCAGCATGGAGGCAAGGAACGCCAGGCTGCTGCCACGTGGCACAGCCTGTGTCGCCGTGCTGACTCATCACTCCACTCCAGAGGGGTCGTGGTGTGAAATCTGAGCAATTTTGAGTCACCTCAGAGCTGTTTTGGGAGGTCGTTTGGGAACCATCCAGGTGTCCAGATGGAGAAGATCCTCGAGTCACACAGGTAGCGTTTGCTTGTGCATCGCCGGCACAGACGTCTGAAATGTGGCCGTTGCTTCGACCTCTGGGATCAGAAACAGCGCCCTCAGCAGCAGCAGCTGAGGCAGGGGCAGTGGCCGAATTAGGGGCAGCAGGAGAAGTGGTGGCGATAGCTACAATAGAATCAGCAGCAATAGAATCAGCAGCAATAGAATCAGCAGCAATAGAATCAGCAGCAATAGAATCAGCAGCAATAGAATCAGCAGCAATAGAATCAGCAGCAATAGAATCAGCAGCACGGCAGCGCGGAGTCACAACTTTCACTCCACTCCATCCACAGTATTGTTTCTTCGACCCTCCATCGTGCCACAGCAGGCTAGCAGGCCGCTTCTGCTGGCTTTCAACCCGCATGCCGTGCCGCCCAATCCACGCAATGTAGGAATCGGGTAGATGCGTTGCTGCTAATCGCCTCCCATAAAAATCTTGGTTGGTAGCCCGGGCAAGCGCAATGCATGGCTTCACGTGCCTGCTGCGGCATTCAGCGACAGACATGGAGCTGTGTTCTGGCAAAATCACAGAAGGAAATCGGTTGGAACAGATGGGTGTAGCGCAGGTCCTGCTGGAAGGGCTCAGGAATATCAGCAGCGGCAATGTCAGCAGCAGCAGCAGCAGATGTTCGTTCTAGCAGCGGCCCTTTTCCGAATTGGAAACCTGTAGGCACATACCGAAGTTGGACGCCCCATAAGGAGCGATGGGGAAGATGCGGCTGGGGGCAGGTGAGAGGCCCTCCGAGCCTCCTCCCACGCCAGGAGTACGCTGCTGCCACCCCTGAGTTCGTACCACACCAGCGTAGGCCCTGGTTCCGAACCACTGTGAGATTCCAACCCATCCTCCTCCAACCCATGCCTCAGCTCAGCCCCAGCCTCGGCCCAGCCTCGGCCCAGCCTCGCCCGCCCCAGCTTCGCCCTAGCCTCGGCTCAGCCTCGGCCCAGCCTCGCCCCAGCTTTGCCCCAGCTTTACCCCAGCTGAGCAATCGCCCAGACGGCAAGGCCTAGTAGGGTTTGTTATCAGAACGGAACGTGTGTTTGTTTCCTGAGAAACTCCACCTCCACCGCAAGGGAACAAAAACTTGACAGTGTGGGAAGGGGACGTGCCAACACTTCTCTTGGCCCCTCCTCTCCCCACTCCCTCCTTCCGAGCAACTTGGTGAAATTTCCCGTCAGAGGAGCACGGAAACACATTATTATCTTGCCTCAACCATATGCATCTTGAGACTTGAACCCCTGACCCCTTTTCAACTTGGCCTGGCAGTCGTCCAGTCGTCCAGTCGTCCAGTCGTCCAGTCGTCCGTCGCCCGTCGTCCACGCATCCAGATTCCAGCAACGCCGAAGGTTCTAGAAGCTCATCGTCTTATCAAGTTGAGGATGAGGCTGCTCTGTTGCCGGCGTCAGACTTGACCGTTGTCCCTTTCCATTTCCACTGTCCCTTCGTAGGGAGTTGTGTGGAGGGCCCCCTTCGGCCATGCTGTATCTAGGAAGGGGGCAGCCTCGGCGAAGGGGCCCCCTCGCGTGGAAGGGAACAGTATTAGAATCTAAATGTTCGATACTGTACCTTAAATGCACCTACAGTACATCGCCTGAATGGTTCGGTATCTTGCCACGCTGGCAGCACGTGGCGCCACTCCAATTCGGACCTAGCAATCACGTCTTTCAGCCACGGCGGTAATGGCACGCACGGAACGGGACGTTGCACTGCCGCTTCCGATTCGCTGTCATGCGTCGCGCCAGGTGGCAGGATCCCTCGCAATTGGACGGACCGAAGCCGCGCAGACGCGATGGAAATCATCCCATTCGATGGTCCGGCCCTGTTGGCCGCTGATGTGGCGGAGAAGGAAATATGCCGAACCAACATGGTCAGGATGTTCAGACAACCCTGTCACCCTGTACCTATCCTGATACTATCCTGGTAAGAGCTGACCTGCAGTGAACATAACGACTCCGTGGCTCTGACGACACGTCTGACCGGAGGAGCCACTAGTACGCTAGGTCTGACCAAAGAACAGCGACGAAGCGATAGCGATTCGTTTCTAGCGTAACTTGCGGCACGAGCTCCCTCGCCTCTCGCCTCACTGGACCGCAACTCGGCACGCCGGGTGCACTGCTGTGGTAGTAGTAGGATTTTGAGAATTCTCAAAAACCTAACACGCTTGGGTGCACTGCACTGATCTACGAGGAATTCCATCTTCCATCCGCCCTGGAAGCTCGCCACTTGCCAGGGCATCCGTGAATTGTTCATTAGTAACTGAACCCGAATGCGTCTAGGACAGGCTGTCGAGAGTGCGACGATTCTAAGCGACATGAAACTCGCCATTTGCCTGGGCATCCGTGAGCCGTCCGCGAATGCTGAGTGCGTCTCGAACAAGCTGTCCGACAGCCCCGGAGAGCCTCGGACAGGCTGGCAGGCTGACTCGAGGCGTCCTAGAGTGCTACTTGGCAGTGCCAGCTGCTTCTTAGAACGAACCCTGCCACAGCATCAACTGCCGTAGCGGACAAGAGACGAGGCGAGCGGACCATGTGAGCCAAATTCGTACGAACCTGTGGTACTGTACAGGGGAAGGAATGAGCCTCTAGGAGGGTATGAGGAAGTACTACACGATGACTCAGGCAAGTAGGAGGCTAGGAATGTGACGGACGGCAGACAGGAGGCGTATCGTGTATTTCTGTAGGCAACTTGTGTCTATGCTCCATTCACCACCCCACAACTCGTTGCCATGCGAACATAGAGCTGAAGGAGCAAGTTTGCGGGTCCAAATAGAATGTTCTCGTTAAATACCCTACCCAACCTTTCTAGGTTGCTATTCGAACGCTTTGAAATGCAAAGCAGGCTACTGCACCGCAATAAGACATCCCCCAAAAATTCGCTATCAGGTGAAGGGAGAGGAGGAACCCTGGGTTGTGTCTGTTCCTTCCAAGGGAGGGAATGGAGCAGACTGAAGTGGATGGGAGGAAAGTGAAGCGACACAACCGCTTTTCCTATCAGGGAGGGGATAGAACAGTAATTGCTGCTTTGAAAATATATCCGTGTCTCGGCTTTTCCGAACTATGGTGCTCCTGTACTCTTTCCCGTAAAATCATGTTACAGGCTGGTTTAAAATATATGGAACAATAAGATGTCTCGCAAGAAGGGTGCAATGCAGCCAGCCACCTGAAGATCAAGGCACTAGAACAGTCTTTAAGATTCTTACATAACAATTGAGGCGCTGTTTACTTGCCCGTAGTGTCATTGGGAGAACATGCTCGGAGGGACAACTTCCATTAGCTCTGGAGGACCATCCATCGTGCAGAAGTCTGGGCGGACGGAGCCATCATTGGCCAGCGACCAGTAAAGAACGGGTGCCGAGGATTACAAAAATGCACCCAACAAAGGCTGCTTCTATGCTAACAAAAACAAGTCACCACCCATTTCTTGCATAATCTCCTTTAAGACGACGCAGTGTCCTGTAGCTCCTCATCGTAGTCAACTTCTTCCTCTAAAAAGCCCTCTCTTCGGTTCTCTGACGAGCGCAACTTGCCAGGCAAATCAGCAGGTTGCCCTTCCATGTGCACGCTTGGCGAGTCTCCAGTCGTTAGCCAGAAAGTCTCCCTCTTCTCCTGCCTCTTTTGCGGAGTGCAATGAGAGCCTACGTAAGGGCTGTTCAGCACACAGGTATCCCTACACAACAGAGACACCAAGCAAACGCCACCTGCAGCACTCTGCAACTTACGCTGCCACGGCTGCTGCTGCTGCTCCTGCTGCTGCTTCTTCGCGTGCACACGAGACTTTGGAGGCTGAGCTTTGCTCCCCAGAAGGCGTGGAGGAAGCGAGTCGTTCTTTGGGCGCTGGACTGCAGAGGCGGCAGGGGCAGAGAACACGTGGTGTTGCCATGTGGGCGAGATGGAGTTCAGGAGGCCAGCAAAAGATGGACTGTGAAATTCCTTCGCAGCATGAGTGACGGAGAGGGGGAAGGGGGGAAACGGGGTGTGCGTGCTCGTAGAGAGGGTGGTCTCGCCAGTACCCGCCTCAGGGCCAAAACTGCAAGGGAACACAGCAGCATGCTGCAGGCCCTGAATAGCCGGCTCAGACTGCCACGTGGCACACCCCCTGACGTGTGCCGAAGTCACAGCACCGCAGCGGGGGGAGGAGGAACTCTGCGGGCCATTGGGATGGGCAGTGCAAGAGGTTCGTGAGTCTCGTGTTTGAGACGGGGCTTGTGCAGGTGCGCGGATCTTCACTTGCGCAGCGCCAACCATGCCAGGTCTGCATGTATTCCTGCACCAGGCAGCGTCCCCATCGGTTCCGGCTGCAGCAGCACTCCGAGTCATAGTTGAAGTGACAGTGGGTGTAGGGGCAGCAGTGGGAGCACCAGTGAGAGCCGGACCATTAGCAGCAGTGGGAGCACCGGTGAGGGCAGCACCAGTAGCAGCAGTGGGAGCAGCAGCGGTAGCAGTAACAGCAGCAGCAGGACAGCAATACAGCATCAGGTGCGGAGGGGGCGACTGGGTTCCAGCATGTAACCTGCTCCTCACACCGCATGGCTTCTTTGCCGCTCCATGCCACAAAGGCCCGGCAGGCCGCTTCTGCTGGGACTCGTGCGACACACTGCTTCCCGCCCGGCGCTCATGACACACACCGCGTCCCGCCCGGCGCTCATGCCACACACCAAGGCACTCGAGGGAACAGTCTGCCCCAGCTGCACCAGGAGCACCGGCAATACAGCCAGCACCCGCAGCAGCAGCAGCAGCATTAACAGCACCACCAACGCTTGCAGTACCTGCAGCGCCGGCAGCACCAGAAGCGGCACAAGCAGCAGCACCAGAAACGGCACCAGAAGCAGCACCAGCAGAAATAACAGCTGATAGGCCATCTCGTGGGCTCCCCGCATTTGTGGCGAGATGGAACTCAGTGGCCATTGCTCCGCACGCACGCCTCACATTCGTGCTCGGCACATTCGTGCTCGGCACATCCATGCTCGGACCGCTGCAGGGCTGAGCGACTGCCATGGCTGGACGGATGGATGAGCAGACTCGGACGAGCTGAAAGGAACCCGCGGATAGAAAGGCTTTGAAAGCGGCACAACCTTGCTCTGAGTAGAGAACCCGGTTCTGAGTACCAAACCCAACGACGAGGCTGGAAAGAACCCAGAAGGGATGCGGACTTGAGGTGGTGCAAGCGACAGGTTCTGGAGGGGAATATCAGGGCACGGACGGGGTGGCGGAGCTGCACGTACGGCGCTTCGAATGGTGGCGAGGGAAAGCGAGACGACTGAAGGGTGATAGAAAACTGGGAGGGGGGAGAGGGGAAGAGAGATGAGCCCTTCCAAGATTGGAACCTAGAAGGAAACAGCACTGGTGATTGTGACAATACGATGAAATCGCTGACAATATGTCCGCACTGGGCTTGATGCTCGATTACTGCCAGACTACCAGTAGCCCCTTACAAAGGATAGGATTAATGCGTAGCGGAAGCGGGAGCCGGTGCGGAGCTCCGAGCTCCAAAGAGTCCTCGGCTCTAAAGAGGTGCTTGCTAGTCGTAAAAGCTGCCACGTGCGTGGCTCTACTGGATGACAGGACGGAAAGGTTTGAAGGTTTTATGGGCGCGATCTCCAACGGACCCAGTGCTAAGCTGGAGCATCAGTGGGGAAGGACAAGGGAAGCACACCGGCAGGGCATGAGGCGACACTCGAGAAAACTAGGGAAACTTCGCGACCGTCGCCCCGTATCTTGGAATCGCCTCAGGATTCGCCGCGCTGTGTTGCGACAGCGGGACCTGCTGGGTGCTGCGGCTGTTTCTGCAGCTGTCTGCTGCTGCTGCTGCTGCTGCGGAGAAGCATCGCATCATTGTCGTAACATGATTGGGACAATGACGCATCTGCGAAGATAGCCCTTTCCGCCGTATACCCACTCACCCTGGTGGAATTCCGCTCGGAGGAGCCACTTCGGCGGATGTGAACGAGGTGTACTGTATCAATGAGGCTCCTGTCTCCTGCTGTCTGGTCACCGTTGCTACTTGATCCATATACGACCAAGCTTGCCTGCTCAACGAACAAATATCTAGTCGAATCGCGCCTCGTCGCAGTGTTGCATCGCAACACCGATCCTCATCGCACATCGTGCATAGTACGTGCGCGAGAATCGCCAGACTGCAGATTGATCGCACGAGCGGTTTTCGCTTGGCAAGCGCTGCTACTCTACAGTACACGCGAATGTCAACTCGCGACCCGAGCGCTGCCATGGTTGTCCCGTTCGGCCAAGCCGCTGGCGCGTCTGTCCGCGCGGCAAGGACGACTGCTCAATCCGAGTCAGATCGAGCCTTGCGGAGCGGAAACTGCTGCCAGGAATGCTTCTGATCCTGGTACCGGTATACTATACTGTGCTCTAGTCGGCTGTCAGCAATACAGTACTTCTGATCCTGGTACCGGTATACTATACAGTACTCGACGCGGCTACCATCAATACAGTGCTACTGTACGTCTGATCCTGGTACAGTATACTAGACGCAGCTGCCCCGAGTAGAGTTTTGCACCATAAGGTGACAGACGATGCCACCTATGATCAAACCACCATCGAAACGAGCCGCCATCTGAGCGAGCCAAGGCGCTCGATCTTGGGCAAGACGACGAAGCTGAATCCATGCAGCCGTGAACCGCTGTCGTTTGGTGCCACGGTTAGGGTTAGACCAGGTTAGACCAGGTTAGAACCCTCACACACTACGTGGAGCCAGATCGGACACGCAAACAGGCCGTTACCGCGAGGAACGCACGAGCGGACAAGAGGAGGGGGAAGGAACGGAGCGCGCAAACAGGATTGCAGCTACACTATATCGTATACTGTACTAGACGACATTGACGCTGGACGACATTGACGTCTAAATTACATCAAAATGCCTCCGACGACAAGTCGAGCAGGAGACAGTCCGACGCGAAAGGCGGTGGTGATTTCTGTCGGATCGGTTGCAACTGGTTTTTGCCTTCTCTAACCGTCTCCGTTGCGTTTCCGGCGCACGCCAATCTGTCGGAGCTGATCCCTCGGGCCGGAAGAGCCGCTTTTCGGGGAAATGCGAGTTTACATCACAGCGGTAAGGCAACTGCTGCGAGGGATGCGTGTCAAAGCTACTGTGATTGCGTCGCCGAGGGAAGTCGCGACAGAGGAGATAGACCAGAGATGGACAGGAGGAGGCGAGGAGAGACGGACCAGACGAGACAAACATTCACCCAGACAGACTGCACGAACAGAAGTAGCTCGAGATGGGATGGGAGGGGAATTTTTTAGGAAGGTCCGTCCCAAGAAGGAAAGGTCCGAGGGAGAAAGGATGTTGGGGAGGAAGGAGAAGCCTTTCCAGAAGGACGTGGTGTGGTAAGACGAATCGCCGCTCGGTGGAAAGGGGAGTGGGGAAGGTTTGGGAAAGGTTTTGGAGGTAGTTGGAAGGATTTGAGGAGGTGTGTGGACGGGTAGAGGATGCGAAAGGAACAGACACTGCCTTTCATCCAGTACACTAGCATGCAATGTCATTATAAAATACAACGCTTGACTGCAATAGGCCAAATGATACACTTAGGGAAAATCGTAGCTAGCAAGCACAATTCAAAAGACGTAAATTAAGCTCAAAATATTCACATTGCTCGATTAATTCGACGTACCATACTACGACAACCACGTATCTTCTGTGTTTTCAATTTCAACTGGAAACAGCATGATGGTGAATTGTGGCTTGGCTAGTAAATGGTTGAAAGTTGTAACTTGGTGTATATTACGATTTGTTGTGGTCAAATCACAAAACACGAAGAGGATGAGTTTGGTACTGGTGTAGTTCGAAATGAGAGGTGCTATATGCGTTACACAAAAATGGGATTACTGCACTACCATTGGGCAGCAGAAGTGCTGGGCAGCAGAAACAAATCAACAAACATAAAACACCAGGACACATTTTTTTATCAGACAAGCCCTTCAAGACGATGCGGTGTCCTGCAGCTCATCATAATCAGCATCCTCAGAAGAACCTGCTCGGTCGCCTGATAAGGCGAGACCAGGAAATGCAGCAGATCGCCTTTGGCCATAATGCAAGCGTATCAACGAATCTCCTGTTGCAGCCAAACTTCGCGCTCTCCCCTCCTCCCTCTCTTGCTTCTCCTACCGAGTGTAACGAGAGCCCATGGAAGCACCATTCAGCACACCAGTCTCCCTGGAGGACAGAGATACCGAGCACACGGCTCTTGCACCACTCTGTTGCTGCTGCTGCTTCACAAGTGTACGAGCCTTTGGAGGCAGGGCTTCCTTGCCCGGGGTGTCAAACATGTGTATTTGTCATGTTTGTATAGACTGTATAGGGTCGCGTCTTAGAGGGTACAACACTTAGGTATATCTGTGTGTACTCTCACTCTATCATCCATTCACTTCTCTAATTTGACATGGTATCACGCGTAGGTTAGGATCCCCCCCCACCTACCGCTTCCGCTCGCCCCCCCCTAGCCCCGTCGTGCCCCTAGCCCCGTCGCGACCCCCCTAGCCCCGTCGCGCCCCTTCCTGGGCCCCGTAGCGCCCCTCCTGGGCCCCGTCGCGCCCTTCCTGGGCCCCGTCGCGCCCCTCCCAGGCCCCGTCGCGCCCCTCCGGGGCCCCGTAGTGCCCCTCCTGGGCCCCGTCGCGCCCCTCCTAGGCCCCGTAGCGCCCCTCCTGGGCCTCGTTGCGCCCCTCCTGGGCTCCGTAGCGCCCCTCCTGGGCCCCGTCGCGCCCCTCCTGGGCCCCGTAGCGCCCCTCACAGGCCCCGTCGCGCCCCTCCTGGCTCCGTAGCGCCCCTCCTGGGCCCCGTCGAGCCCCTCCTAGGCCCCGTAGCGCCCCTCCTGGGCCTCGTCGCGCCCCTCCTGGGCTCCGTAGCGCCCCTCCTGCGCCCCGTAGCGCCCCTCCTGGGCCCCGTCGCGCCCCTCCTAGGCCCCGTAGCGCCCCTATTGGGCCTCGTCGTGCCCCTCCTGGGCCCCGTAGCGCCCCTCATGGGCCGCGTCGAACCCCCCTCCTGGGCCCCGTCACGCCTTCAGGCCCCGTCGCACACGCCCGGCCCCGTCGCACCAGCCCGGCCCCGTCACGCCCGCCCGGCCCCGTCGCACCCGCCCGGCCCCGTCGCCCCCTACCCGGCCCCGTCGCACCCGCCCGGCCCCGTCGCACCCGCCCGGCCCCGTCGCACCCGCCCGGCCCCGTCGCACCAGCCCGGCCCCGTCGCGCCCGCCCGGCCCCGTCGCACCCGCCCGGCCCCGTCGCACCCGCCCGGCCCCGTTGCACCGGCCCGGCCCCTGCGCTCGTCCCTGCCCCGGCCCCGGTCCTCCTCACTGGTACGGTTCTCCCCCCCCCCCCCCCCCCCCCCGCCCTGCACTGCCCTACACCGTACTGCCCCGCACTGCACCGCCCCGCACCACCCTGTACTGCCTGGCACCGCATTGCACCGCCCTACACCGCACTGCACCGCACTGCGCCGCACTGTACCGCACGGCACCGCACTCCACCTTGCTGCACTGCCCTGCACCGCACTGCACTGTTCCTGATGGCGGCGGAGCTTCGCTTCGACGCTGAAGGCCAGCCTCTGGAGTTCGAGGCGTGGCTTGCCGACCTCCGTCGCCAACTCACTGGCCAGCGGCAGGATGGTGAACCGCTTTCCGCACACCTTGACGGTACGCTCCCCTGCCCAGACCCCCCTGCTATTCTGCCCGCTGACTCCACACCCACTGAGCGCGAGTCCACTGCTGCCACTGCCCGTGCGCGCTCTGTCTCGCTTTCTCGCGATGCTGTCGCCCATTTTGCCATTAGCAACGCCCTTCCCCCGTCCGAGCGCCCTCGCTTTAGGTCTATCACTACTGCTCAGGCATACTTAGATGCTGTCATCCAGCGCTATTCCACCCCTCCTGCTGCCTCGGTGGGTCGCCTGATCCTCCCGATGCTCTTTCCTGACCTTGCATCTTTCCCCACTGTCTCTGACCTCGCTGCCCACCTGCGCTCGATAGATGAGACCTGGCGCGCAGCCTGCACTGATGCACAGCTTAGAGCCCACCAGCCGCCCATTACCTCTACCCTCTACTTGCTTGCCACCCGCCTCCTTGACCGCCTTGCTGTCGCCCGTGACCGCTTCCTTAGCATTCACCCAGCAGACCTCACCCTCACTGACTTTGTAGACACCCTGACTGTGATAGAGACCCGTCACCGCTCCATCGCCCAGGCGAGCGGTGTCGTGCCGGTCCCTATCTTTCAGGGTTGTGCCCCCGCTCAGTGTACCTTCTCCGACGGCTCTGCCGCTGTGGCTGAGACTGCTGCTGCAGCGCAGTTTCGTTCGGGGAAGGGCCGCCGCCCCAAGGTTGGGCGCGGCGGAGGAGGCGGGGGTGCAGGAGGGGGTGGTGGTGGAGTCGGGTCGTCTGGTGCTGGAGCGGACGAGGGGACCCTGCCCAGTCCAGCTGAGCCGCCGCCCCTACAGTCGCAGCAGCAGCAGCCGCCGCAGCCGCCGCAGTCGCAGCAGCCGCAGCCTTCGCAGCAGCCGCAGCAGCTGCCGCACACGAGGCAGACGAGTGTCCTCCCGCCCGGGTGGCCCGGCGCTGGCGGTGGTCGGGCGCGTGGTGGTGTGCCGAGTGGTGGTTCTGGAGGCGTGCGTTGTCAGTACCAGATCCAGACCGGTCCTCGCCGCGACTTCGTTTGCGGTAAGATCGGTCACTCCACTCCCCCTGTTTTTGTCGCCTGGACGACCTGTTTCGTCAGCGCTTCGGCCCGTCGCCCGACCTCCCGGACTGGCACAGTTTGCTTAGTCGTAAGATTCCGATTTTTGATATGGACATGGATGCCATTGTTTCTGCTCTGCATGTGATGTATGCTGATGACTCTAGTGTGCTTCCCGCCTATTACTCACTATTGCCTAGTGTAGGTGTGCCTAGCTTAGCCTCCCCTGCTGCGTCAGGCGTAGGATCTCCTGTTTTGTGTAGTCTTGGTGCTTCCGCCGTCGTTCCGTCGCCAGACGCCTCTGCTTCGCTTTCCTTCACCTTGGACTCTGGCGCTTCTCGGTGTTTCTTCCGCGACTCCACCACCCTGACGCCGCTTCCTGTTCCAGCTGCCGTTTCTCTTGCTGACCCCTCCGGCGGTCCGGTAGTCGCCCGCAGTTCCACCACCCTTCCCTGTCCGGCGGTTCCTTCGGGCACTCTCACAGGTCTGCATATCCCCTCGTTCTCCAGGAACCTAGTTGGTGTCGGCTGCCTCCAGGACCTTGGCGTCACCACTACGTTCCCTGGTCACGAGCGGTATGCTGTCTGTACCGAGGCCGCCACTGGTGCCCCCCTGTCCACGTTCCCCCGGGACCCGGTGTCCGGCCTGTTCATTCTGGACACCGTGACCCCCCCGGCTGGAGCGCTCACCCAGGTTGCTGCTGCCTGCTCTTGTCGGTCCCTCACTCACCCGACCCTCATTTGGCACCACCGCCTAGGTCACCCTGCACTCCCGCGTCTCCGTCACATGTCCCAGCACGGTCTTGTCCTTGGTCTCCCAGGTTCCCTCCCCGCGTTTCCCTCCTCCCCAGCCCCACCTTGCACGCATTGTGTCGAGGGTCGGCTTTGCCATGCCCCTCACTCCTCCTCGTTTCCCCCTACCGCCGCACCACTGCAGACCCTGCACCTGGACGTCTTGGGCCCCGCCCCCGTCCCTGGGCCGCGTCGAGAGCGCTACTTCCTTGCGCTTGTCGACGACTTCACTCGTTACACCACAGTCTTTCCCCTGGAGCGCAAGGCCGACGTGCCTGGAGCTCTCATCCCCTGGCTTGTCTCTGCGCGTGTCCACCGCAGTCTCCCTGTCTTGCGTCTTCACTCAGACCGTGGTGGCGAGTTTGCCTCAGGTGTCCTTGGTCGCTTCTGTCGTGCGGAGGGCATCACCCAGACGTTCACCCTACCGGACTCCCCACAGCAGAATGGGGTCGCTGAGCGACGCATCGGTTTGGTCATGGAGGTGGCTCGCACCTCCATGATCCATGCCGGTGCACCCCATTTTCTGTGGCCGTTCGCTGTGCGCTACGCTTCTCACCAGCTTAACTTGTGGGCTTACCCTCAGCAGCCGCAGGTTTCGCCGACCCGTCTTTGGACTGGGTCTCCTGGTGACGCGTCTGCGTTCCACGTCTGGGGCTGCCTTGCTCATGTCCGTGCCTCCGGCACGGACAAGCTCACTGCCCGCACCCTTCCCTGTGTCTTCCTCGGTTTTCCCCTTGACGCGTCCGACTGGCACTTTTACCACCCGCCGTCTCACCGCTTCTTTCACTCTCGTGACGTCACCTTTGACGAGTCTGTCTCCTACTACCGTCGCTTCCCCCACCGTGGTCCCCCGGTTACCCCCCCCCTCTTCCTGGTCACTCCTTCCCCGGTCGTCCCGGCCCCTCCTCCTCCTCCCCGTCCCGCCCCCTCTGGTGTGTCCCACGTCACCCCGCTTCCGTCGGTGGACCCGGTCGAGGAGTCTTCTGACTCTGGTGGCCCTCCTGTTCAGTCCTCGCCGGCCGCCCCTCCCCTGGCGTCCTCTCCCCAGTCCCCCCCTCCACCCCTGCTGCCGCCGCTGCAGCCGTCGTTGCCGCCGCCGCCGCTGCCGTCGCAGCACCCGTTCGCTGACTCTGGGGGTGCTTGTCCCGGTAGCCCTGGGGGTGGTCCCCCTGGGGGTGCTGGTGTGGAGAGTGCCGGTGGTAGCCGAGGAGCAGCTTGCAGTCCAGGTGTCGCCGTTGTGCCGCCGCAGCAGCAGTCCCCGCCGGTGTCAGCCCTTCGCCTGCTCGGCCTTCCGTCCCCCGACCCTGCGTCGGTTCCTCCCCGACCGTCTCCTCCTCTTCCTGTCTACGGCCCTGTCTTCCCTCCACCGGACTCGTCCCCTGCCCGTCTCCCCCCTCGTTCCCCTCCTGTGTCCCCTCCTCTGTCTCCTGACCCGACTCCTCCGTCGCACGTCTGGTCTCTCCGTCCCTCCCGTGCTCGTCCTGCCTCGCTTGTCTTGCGCTCCCACCCTATGTTGCTTCGTTCCCACGCGTCTCGTCCTCCCCTTCTGCCGTCGCCTCCTCCGTCCTCCCTTGTTGTTGCACCCCCCCCGCTGTCTGACTACCTTCGTGTCGCTCGTCCCCTTGTTCCTCGGGTCCTTGCCTCTCTCGTTACCGACTCGTCTGTTCCGGCCTCGTGCCTTGACGCTCTTGTCGCTGCTGTCGCTGACTTCGCCTCTACCCGCCGCCTTGACTACGCCTCCGCTCTGGTCTCTGACCCTGTCTGTCCTCCGTCTGTCGGGGGTGCTCCTGCCCTTGGCAGTGACGTCCTGGAGGACCGCCAGTTCGAGCTTGCTTTCCTCTCCGAGGCTGCTCCCCATCTCTGTTCCATGCTGCTAGTCCCTGAGGGTGACCCAGACGCTTTTGACATCCCGACCCCTCGCACTTATGCTGAGGCGACTTCGGGACCCTGGGCCTCGCAGTGGATAGCTGCCATGGAGGAGGAGATGGCATCTTGGAGATCAACCGGCACCTTCGTCGACGCAGTTCCCCCACCTGGGGTGAACGTAGTCGATGGCCGCTGGCTCTTCAAGGTGAAGCGCCCTCCTGGAGAGCCGCCTGTGTTCAAGGCGCGCTATGTGGCTAGAGGCTTCAGTCAGCGTGAGGGGGTGGACTTCTTCCAGACCTTCGCTCCGACCCCGAAGATGACTACTCTTCGGGTTCTGTTACACCTAGCTGCTCAGCGTGACTACGAGCTCCACTCCCTCGACTTCTCCACTGCCTTCCTTCAGGGCAGCCTACACGAGCAGGTCTACTTGCGTCGTCCTCAGGGCTTTACTGGCACCTTCCCTCCTGGGACCCAGTGGCTCCTGCGGCGCCCCGTCTACGGCCTGCGTCAGGCTCCCCGTGAGTGGCACGACACTCTCCGTGCTACGCTTGCTGACCTGCAGTTCTTTCCGTCTTCCGCAGACCCTTCACTCTTCGTTCGTGCTGGCCAGACTCTGTTCTACATCCTTGTTTACGTCGACGACCTGGTCTTTGCCACAGCAGACAGGGACGCACTGGCCTACGTGAAGGCAGAGCTGCTGAAGAGACACACGTACACTGACCTTGGAGAACTGCGCCGTTACCTTGGCTTGCACATCTCCAGGGACAGAGCTGCGCGCACCATCACCCTGACTCAGTCACACTTGGTGCGCCAGGTCCTTCAGAGGTTCAGCCTTCAGTTCTCCTCTGCACAGCCCACCCCTCTGCCTGTAGACCACAGACTCTCCGCTCCAGTGTCTGAGGAGTTGGTAGAGCCCAGCGGCCCTACGCAGAGCTGGTGGGTTGCCTCATGTACCTGATGACTTGCACTCGCCCAGATCTCGCATACCCTCTCAGCATCCTGGCTCGCTTTGTGGCCACAGGCAGACACCGACCGCAGCACTGGTCTGCCGCTAAGAGGGTTCTGCGTTATCTTGCTAGTACATCGGGCATGGGGTTAGTGCTAGGAGGACGCAGGCCAGTGGTCCTTACTGGACACACAGACGCTTCGTGGGCAGACGACGCTGAGACACTCAGGTCTACCCAGGGCTACTGCTTCAGCCTTGGCTCAGGTGCCGTCTCGTGGAGAGCTACCCGCTCCTCGTCTGTTGCGCAGTCCAGCTGTGAGGCTGAGATCTACGCTGGTGCCATGGCGGCACAGGAGCTCCGCTGGCTGACCTTCTTGCTCACTGACTTAGGTGAGCGGCCTAGCTCTGCCCCGGTCCTGTTCGCTGACAACAGGGCCATGATCCTCCTGTGTCAGGAGCCTCGACTCGAGGGCAGAGCAAAGCACATTCAGCTGCGGTACTTCCTCCTGCGTGAGCTACAGCAGCGACGGCAGGCTCGCGTAGTACACTTGGCCTTAGGTGCCAACACGGCTGATATCTTTACGAACGCGCTTGCGCGGCGCCTAAAGATCATCAGCGGCACTGTGTACAGCTTGGTTTAGTTCCTGTAGCCTCTCACTTGCTAGGACCTTGACTTTGTACTGTCCTTTATATTTATACTCAGACTGGACTTGTGTCCTCTTCCAGTGGCTGGACTAGTAGTGCCGCCCTGCTCTTGTTCTTGCCTTGTCTGTACTCCTTCTGACTGGTCTCTCAGACCCTTGTCTCAGAGGTTGGACTAGTAGTGCCGCCCTGAGCTGCTTGTTTAGGACATTCCCCTATGCAGTCTAGGGGGTGTGTCAAACATGTGTATTTGTCATGTTTGTATAGACTGTATAGGGTCGTGTCTTAGAGGGTACAACACTTAGGTATATCTGTGTGTACTCTCACTCTATCATCCATTCACTTCTCTAATTTGACACGGGGGGCATGGGGGAACCGAGCAATTGTAGGGGGACCAGACGGCAGAGGTAGCAGGAGCAGAAAAGACCCAGCGGTGGTGCTGCAGGGTGGGCGACGTGGAATTCAGGAGGCCTGCAAAGGATGGGGTACGGCAGCCCAATGTAGGGTGGGTGAATGAGAGAGGGAAGACTGCACAACCATGGAGAACCGACACGTGGGGAAAGGGAGTGTGGGTGCTCCTAGAGGAGGTCTCGCCAACACCCGCCTCAGGGCCGAAGCTGCAGGGGAAGACAGCAGCATGCTGCAGGCCCTGAATGGCTGGCTCTGGCTGCCACGTGGCACAGCCCGTGTCGTGTGCCGGACTCACAGCTCCACCGTGGGGAGAGGTACTCTGGATGTCTCCAACACTGGAACCATCACCAGACCCAACAATGAGAGCAGCCATGACAGCGGTAGTAGGTACAGTAGCAGCACCGGCGGTGACAGCAGTGTCAGCAGCAGCAGGGCAGTAGGCCATCAGGTGTGGAGGGAGAGAGTTCTGCACTCCGCTCGAACGATAACACTGCTTCTTCGCCACTCCATGCCAAAAGTACCTGGCAGGCCGCTTCTGCTGCAACTCCCGCCACATGTCATGCGCCTTCTTCTGGTGCTCCTGGTGCCGCTGCTGCCAGTCTTGGCTGAATCTGAGACTTGGGAAACCCGCTTGGCCATGCAAAGTGTCATCACCGTGTGGAATCCGGCCAATCAGCGTCGACTCCATATGGTGGCTGGGGAATTCAGCGACCGCCATGGATGAGAGAGTGAAATCAAGGAAGAAATTGGGAAGAGCCTGGGACGAAATTGGTATCCACGTTGAGATTGAGATTTGGCGCTGAGGCAGCTGGGAGGGGTGGACTGAGGTGGACTGAGTAGCAGTAGTAGGAACTGGGTTTGGAGGAGAAAGACAGGCAGCAGAGACAAGCGCAGGATGATTTTGATGTCGGGCGTTCTTAGGACCCGCAAAAGGAAGAGAAGAGAAGTGAAGACGTCTTAGACCAGCATGAGGAGATCTGTATGGCAGAAGAGTGGCCACCAGAGAGCCACCAGAGGGCAAACGAACGAATTGAGGCAGGCGGGAGCCTAGGCGTTGGATTATAAGCGTCAATAGAAGCGAGTGACGGGCTGACTCTAAGGAGCACCTGAGAAGGGTATCTGAGAGGAGAAAAACCGGAGGCTGAGAGTTTAGTAGCACACTGAATGGCACGGCGATGCAGTTTTCTGGCAGCCATTATATACCGAGAGTGCAGCTGCTTGCCGCTGCTGGTCCGCGACTATGATGGTACTAGGAGGAGGCTTCTTCTGGAGACACGGTACTAGGGAGAGGTTGCTAGTGGGAACATGGTTGCCCCCTCGTGAAGGCTTCAGTGTGGCACACACTAGGCGAGCACAAGTGCAAGCTGCTGCTAACCTCTGCGGCTCTGGGAGACGCTAATAGGGGCGGGAAAGAGGGGGGGGGGGGGGGGAAGAGAGAGGGGGGAAGAACCTTCCGATCTCTCTAGCAGACGAGGAGAAGGGGAAGATGGGGAGGAGGAGGGAGGAAAGATGGGGAAGATGGGAAAGATATATTAGACGCCGCTTGCAGGAAGGATCTTTCCGATCTGCCTGCCCAATCAGCTCCTTCACTCTACTGGAGGGAGTCCCTTAAAAGAGGGGATAAGAGTGGGAAGTTGCGAAATAATCCGCGATTGGAGAGAGTGGTGCCGCGATTGGAGAGAGTGGTGATCCCTTTGCCTTCCCAATATGCTGGCTACTGTAGCTACTGTACTACTTGTGGTACTGTAGTACTTGCAGTATTAGTGCTACTTGTGATCGACGTCGCCGTCGTCACGCGTTAAACTCTATGGCCGTGTAAAGCGCCAAGTCATCACGACGACAGCTTGCAGCGAGGCAGATACGGGCCCGATCTCGCAACAGATCCGTCGCCCACTAACAGCTCGGTCCTACAGTACCGTGTCATCGCAGCATGTGTCCCCCAGGACACTCACTGCCAGGGAAGGGCAACGCCTGGTTTTGCGTCTGACGTACTGTCGCGTTCGGCCGGAGCGAGCCTATTACTAGGTCAGAAGTACTGTGCCAGTACTGTGCCGTTCGGCCGAAGCGAATTCCAAAGCATTTTGAAGGTGCAGTTATACTAGGCTCAAAAGGACGATTGCTCGGTCGAATCGAGCTTCGCTCCTGCCATTGTTAAAATCTGCCACCATCGGGGCCCCTTTCAAAAGAGCCGCGTTGATTGAATTGAATTGAAACCCGTTCTTGGAACGCAGCTTGGCGAACAAGACGCTGCTGCCCCAACAGCTGCTCTGCTGGTGTCATTAATTCGTCGTCGGGGTGTGTGGCGCCAGCTGGCACAGCCCGCAAGAGCTGGCGGAAGAGAGGAGCGCGGAAACATGATTGAGATGACCTTCTTACGGAGGACAAGAAAAATGAGACATTGGCGCGATTCTACTGCCTAGTGGAGATTATCTCGATAGGCAGGAGGGACACGACGACACGACGTCAGGGAGGGGGCAAGGAGAGACGGACAGCGAAGGCAGATGGCAGCTTCTATGATCTATCGGATCGACCGCAACTGAAACCCCTTCCTCGCCGCCTAACCGTCTCCGGTCCGGTTCCGCATGCCAATCTGTCAGGAACACCCTACTAGTTTGTTCTGTACTGTCAAGTGCCGCTCAGAGCAAGGCGAGGCTGCAGTACAGTGGCATGGCAATGCGAGGCAAGGTGAGATGAGACGAGAAACAGACCATTATGGGTGATCAGTGCAAGTGCCCAAACTGCAAGAAAAGCCAACTTTCGTTACATTCGTCACGCTACGAAACAAAGGCACCAAACGCTTTCGCAAATTTCGCGCACGAATCTCCAACCGCAGATCGGTACTTGCGTCGTCGTGCTCGATCGTGTCTGACACCGTTTCCTGTGATTTCCGTGATTGGTTGGAATCAATTTGTCTTCAGGTGTTGTTTCGAATATTGTTTCGATAAAGGATCACAACAAAATTGTCGGGTTACCTGATTCAAGGATTTCCAAACGAGCCCATCGAACTACTTAAACCACACCCTCGGTACCTTGGGAACAAAAGTCCTGAAGGCAGAAGGTAAGTTGAATCGCCACTCACTGGGGAGGGGAGTCGGGGGAGGAAACTTTGGGGAGGAGAGTTTGGGGAGGGAAATGTCTAGGCCAGGGTCCTCCCCCCACTCCCCTCACGAACGGGGGGCGCGCTGCTCCAAGGCCACGCAGGGCGTGGTGTGGTGGGGCGAGGGGAGTGGAACTGTGGGGGAAGGGGATGGATGGCGCGGGGAGACAACTGGTGGTGGAGAGGGGCTGTCCCAAGCGTACATTTTCGCTCATCACCCTACCCATACGCTTGATTTATTTGTTTCATCCTTCTGATCCAGATAGCATCCCACCCAGCCGCAATCAAACGCACACTTGGGACACGCCCTGAGTTGAGACTCCCACCTCACGCAGACTGCCGATTGGACAAGCATCGATTTCATCTATTACGTTTAGAAAAGAGGGTCACTTCAGAGTTTGTATATCATTCCTTCAAAAGTTCTCTCTCCATTTCCAATGCACTACCTTTGGTGAATGATTGGACTCTTTGACACATGCTAGTATTTTCCATCAGAGGTAATATGCCATTGCTTGTTCTTTCAGTCGGTTTAATTGCATCATTGGTCATTGCTACACTGCAGAAGTCCCCATCTAAATGGGCAAACAACATGTCGCTTTGCAAAGAAAAAACCATGACTAGTTTGACCTAGCCAAATCACGTTGCATACCCAAATCAGGAAAACTGGTGCGAGATCTAAATATCTCCAACGAAGCAGTATCTTTTAGCGCATCATCATCATCAGCAGCATCATCTGAACCATCTGCTCTGTCGCCTGGCATGTTTGCTGGCATAAAGAGATGGCCAGGCATAGAGAGGCCATTAGGCCCTTCAAAACATCCTTGCACTCCTCTCTCCTGCATATCCTGCCTCACCTGCCAAGTGCCAGCAGAGCCAAAGGAAGGTCCATTCATCACACATTCAAGGAGACACCACATGCAGTACTCTGCAACTGCTGCTGCTGCTGCTGATGCTTGTTGCTGCTGCTGCTGTGCATGCACAAGAGCCTTTGGATACAAAGCTTCCATGCCTGGAGTGCACAGAGATAGGGCATGGCCCTTGAAGGGCCACTGAGTGGCAGAGGCGGCAGGGGCGGAGAACACACGTCGGTGGTGTTGCAGGGAGGGCGCGATGGAATTCAGGAGGCCAGCAAAAGATGGAGTGTGGCAGCCCTTTGCAGGCTGGGCGAAGGAGAGAGGGAAGAGGGCGGGGTAGATGACTCATTCCCTGCATGTTGCCAGATTAATGCTTCAAACCTCTGAACCGCGATGGGTCTCAGGAAACAGAGTGAGGCCGTGACTGCTCCTAGAGGGGGGGTCTCGCCAGTACCCGCCTCAAGACCAAATCTGCAGGGGAAGACAGCGGCATGCTGCAGGCCCTAAATGGCCCGCTCAAGCTGCCATGTGGCACAGCCCGTGGCGTGTGCCCTACTCAGAGCCCCCCCTCCACGTATGATTTTTTTTACTTGTGCAGCATCAACCACAGAGGGATGGCATAGGTTCTTGAGACCACCGGTAGCAGCGTCCCCAACAGCTGCAGCTGCAGCAGCATCCTTGGGATAAGTTGCAGTCACCATTGCAGCAGCACCCTTGGGATAAGTTGCAGTTACCATTGCAGCAGCAACTTGGAATAAGTTGACGTCACAGTGAAAGCGGTGGGAGCAGTAGCGACTGCAATGGTGTCAGCTCCAATGGGAGCAGTAGTGGCAGCAGTAGAAGGGACACTAGAGCCACCAGTGGTAACACCAGTAGAAGGGACAGTCGAGAGACCAGCGGTGAAAGTCATAACAGCAGTAGTAGCAGCAGCATGGCAGTAGGCCCTGAGTTGTGGAGGGAGCGAGTTGTGCACATCGCTCCTCTCATGGCATCGCTTCTTCGCCACTCCATGCCACAACAGACTGGTCGGCCGCTTCTGCTCCCTCTCCTGCCACGCACCATGCGTCGCGTGTTGTTTGTTGGCAGTCACGATTGAAACTCAGGCCTGGAAACGCGGCCTGGGCTAGGCTGTGGGATTCCGTGTATGGGATCAGCTGAATGCGATGAATCTGCTCACTCCCGAGTGCAAGCCCTGGCTCCAGGTGGTGGTTGGGGAAATCAGCAACCACCATGGATGGATTGACGGATGGATGATAGAAGGATGGGCGGGTTGAAACAAATGAAGTAGAACCAACGTTGAAGTTAGTGGTGAGGCTAGGAGACTCTCACTAGAGGCTGACTTGAGCAGGAGGAACAGGTAGGGAAAACCAAACGAACCAAACGAACCAGTAGGCATAGGCCAGGTGGGCAAGGCGCTGGATAGAAGCCCCACCAGGAATGGAGTGACTGAGAGGGAGAACTGAATCAAGTGGGAGTGAGAGCGAGGGGAGTGGAATTGGGGACTGGATGGCACGGTAATGCGATTGCCTGGTGCCATTATATAACACGAGCGCTGCTACCTGGCAGTGGTGACTGATGCACGTCCGGAGATTGGCTGTCTTAGCGGAGGGCATAGGAGGGAGGGAGGAGGGCAGAGGAAACAGAAGGGGAGGATTCGAATCATCCCTACAGCTTACCAATCTGCTTCCCCGGATAGCGGCTCCTCCTGGAAAATCAAGGGGATAAGACTGGGAGTGGGTGGTGCAAGTTGGCCCATGCGTGCTAACTAGAATCCACGACGCTGAATCCGCGAGGAGGCATTCGTGCGGCAAGCTGCAGCGGGGCAGATATCGGCGCAATCTACATCGGGTCATGTTGCTGAAGGCATGCAGCAGCAGCAGCAGCAGCATGCAATTTGGAGTGTGCGAATTTTGGGGTTGAGCGACCCGCTTGGACGATCACGCATGACTATATTGCCCCATATTCGCCTCAACAAAAAGGTGCCGCCGAGCGCTTGAACCGTACTCTTCTTGATATGGTCCGCTCATTTCTTATGCATGCTCACACGTCTCATGAATGGTGGGGTGAGGCTCTTGCCCTTGCCGCATGGGTGCACAACCGGTGCCCTACCAAGCGTCTCACTTCTACCACACCCTATGAAGCTTGGCATCGCTCTAAGCCTGACGTGTCCCTCGTCCGTACCTTTGGTGTCTTTGTTACTATCGCACCCCCGACCATCTTCGTCACAAATTTGATGCTCGAGCCCAACCCGCTATGTTCTTGGTCTCTCCGCCTCTCACAAGGCATGGCGTGTTTGGGACTTTACTCATGATCGTCTCGTCATTACTCGTGATGTGGTTTTCTTTGAGGATCGTTTTCCTCCTTCCCCCCTCTCTCCTCCCATCATCACTATTGTCCCCGCCACCGATGATGTGGCACCTTCTCCTCCTCCTCCTCCTCCCCCTCCCTCCCACCTTGTGAAGGGGAGCCTTCCTCCTCTCCCGTTCCTCCTCGTGCCCCCATCCCTCATTTTGTTGAGGCGGAACCTTCTTCCATGGCTTCTCCCTCCTCTCCTCCTCCTTCTCCTCCTCCCGTGTCTCCGCCTCCCACTTCTCCGTCCCTTGCCTCCACCCGCCCTCGTCGTGCTCCTCATCCCAACCCTCGCTATGTTTCCTTTGCTTCGTCATGCGTTCTCATCTCTCATGCTTCTCCACCATCCTTGAGCCCAGATCCTATGATGAGGCTATGGCATCTCATGATGCCACCAAGTGGAAGATAGCCATAGGTGAGGAGCTAGCCTCACTTGAGAAAATGGGCACATTTGAACTTGTCGAGAAGCTGCGAAAGCGCTATGTGGTGGGCTCTCGTTGGATATTCAGAGTCAAGTATGGGCCGGATGGGGAGGTGGATCGCTACAAGGCACAGCTTATAGCACAAGGGTTCACCCAAAAGGAAGGGATCCATTACAGCGAGACGTTTGCTCCCGTTGTAAAGAACTCTACCTTACGGGCTCTTCTCGCCCTTGCCGCAGCTCAAGATTTCGAGGTGGAACAACTCGACGTGAAGATTGCGTTCCTATACGGCAAATTGGAAGAAGATGTCTACATACTGTACACCAACCCCTCGGATTCAATGACAGGAGTGATCGTGTGTTCAAGCTCAAGCGTACGCTCTATGGACTCAAGCAAAGTCCAAGAGTTTGGTACCAACGCATCGATGCTCACCTTCTTTAGCACAACTTCAAGAGGAGTGAATGTGATCATTCACTCTATCTCCTTGAAAAGGGAGAACACGACCTCTTCCTCCTTCTCTATGTTGATGACTTCCCTTTGTTTTCGGATTGTAATGCCCTTGTAAAAGAGTGCAAGGAGACACTCGCGGCGGACTTTGAAATGAGGGATCTCGGACCGGTTGCATTCTATCTCGGAATGCATATCGTACAAGATCTAGGGCAGTGCTCTCTCAACCTCAATCAAAGGAAGTACCTCGAAGAAGTCGTCGATCGACACGGGATGGCGGATAGTGCTCCTATGCCCACACCGCTCGAAGTCACCTTTCGCCCTCTCGGCACAAGTGAAGATCTTCCTATTGATCCTATTGTTAAGAATAAATATCATTCCTTGGTATGGTCTTGCA